TGGACCACCTTTAAATAAAGTAGCATGTGTGAAATTGACAGACTGTTGCACTGTTTTATTCTCATCGGGCCATGTCATCATTCAATTGGGTACCGTCAAGCCCAATGCCAATGTAACCCCTGAGACACTCATATACGCGGGCTATTGTCACATGTGGCATTGGCTTGAAATGACATACCCAGGACATTTGGGGTCAGATCGGTAAAACGAGCTGTTTGTCTACCGATTACTACTGAAATTTCATTAAATGTGTAGTAGGTGGCGATTGATGTTGTAAGTTTGTAAGTAAGTATGTTAAAAGCAACAACGTGTTCAGCCAATATGCATCTTGATTTCAAGGTTCATGTGCACTGAGAATTCAATTATTGGGAATACACTGATTTTTGCTATACTCTGTGTACTTGTTTATATTTTTATTTCATGAACCTAAAACAGCCATAGTGTCTAGACTTAACACATTGTGACGCAAAGATAGTCAGAAACAATGTAGCAATGATTATTCTAAATATAGTTGAAATTGATTATTCTAAATATCACATGTCATACAAGTCGTCGTCGTCGTGTTGATAAACACGCGCCATCTGTTGATCTTGAAGCGCGGGTGTCGTCACCTGCGCATGCGTCAGATGGCCATAGCGTGTCATTGTTTACAAACAAGCGTCTACCCATGAGCCTTTGCGTTTTTAGCGTGACGGTATGCTGTCATCGTCGCTTGGGACTCAATTTCCGCGCGTGCGCAGGTGACGAGCCTCCCGCTTCAATCGATTTCCCGCCTTATAAAATACTGTTCATTCGAATTAACGTCATGTTGGTGACATCTCAATCTGATTAAAATCTGATGTAGTGTACGGGCTTTAATTATTTTGGCTATAAACTTATTTTAATTTTATTTTTTAGTATATTTGTTATTAATGCCCTTTTATTTTATTATTTTACTTTGATTTTGATTTTGTGATTTTTTTTAATTCCGCCCTACCTACATCTGAGCCGATGCCTATGTAACGAGATTTCAACGAGACCCACTATCGACGATTTTAGTCAACGAATCACAGACCTCCTTCTATAGCGTACATGATGACGTCACCGGGCAGAGTCAGGTAACAAACAGACTCAAATAAAATGGCAGATTATACCGACGTTAGCGACCGAGAATGACACGGCTTTTCGGTAAGTTTATCATTGTCAAATGCAACGAAAGTCATTTTTATGTTAATATTGTGGCTCGAATGGTCGACTTTAAATCGTTATTTTA